AATATGATGGTGTAATCAAAACATTCCAGGATAGGCAGAAGCTAAGGGATTTTGCCAAAGCCAACCCTGCTATGTAAAACATCCTAAAGGAAGTTCTGTGGACTGAGAACCAACAACACACAACAACTACAGAATGACGTACATGGCAGCATCAACCTGAACTCAGTCGACAAATGGAAGAGTCAACAACAGAATAAAATTATAAGAACAGAAGATCTGGGAGGTCAATCTATGATCAAAACAATTACAATGTGAAAAAAGGTAAACACATAGGAACAGAGATCCAGGTGGTGGGAAGGTCAGGTAGATAGATTACTGGATAAAATAAACTGTCTTAAATGGAGGGAAGAACTAATGGAATATAAGGTAACCACAATAGGGTTGGGGTGGGGGATTTACTTTGGGTGTTGGAGAGGACAATAAAAGGGGGGAGGAGGCAGAAGAGCAAGATAGATAAGGGGAACACTGAGACAGGTTTGCATGGCCTAAGTGGAACAGAGGTAAATAGTGATGCATACTCAACCTTGGAACAACAGGGGTCTGGGATACAGGGATCTATCTAGGTATAGCTTGAAGAGGATAAATAATACTAAAATCCTTGACTGCCTTATGAATATTAGTTTCCCTTGCCTACTGTTGTAAAATAGATACTTGAGTGGGATAGAAGGATTGTGGGAAACATGATTAGAGAAAAATTGTAAGCCCTGCCTTCAGCCTATAACTGACTGGAATACCTAAAAGGGGTTCTACAACTTGCCCAGTGAAATAGGCAAAATGTGCAAAGCTTTTAAAGAGTACAGAACCTTAGGTGGAATCCTGAATCCCATCCAGAGCCTTATGAGGTGAGACATTCCTAATAGAAAGGACAAGCAGACTGGAACAGCTACAGTGACAGAAGATACATCTTCATGATGAACCTGACCTATACTCACAGCGGTAGTTACTTTAATACCAACAGAGAGGGAAAGAGTCTTCAAATCAAGTATCAATGCTATCAGCTCTGTACACAGGGTAGATAGGGACGGGCAACTCAGATATTGGCTACCTAAAATGAGGGGGCAATAAAGGCATGAAGTGACTGGCTTACAAGGTTTCAAGAGGGAGTTTAAGAGTATGGGGGGAAAGAAAGAGTCCTCACTGAATAGATGTCATCTTGTCTAGATGGGTCTGGTGAAAAGAGATGGGGATAAGATTCTTAAGATTCAATAGTGAAAAATTGTTATCATGACTAATTGTGACTGTCACAATTGTAAAGGTAGAAGTTTTGTAACAAAAA